GGGGGGGGGGGGGGCGGGGTTTAATGCATTCCTACTTACTGGCCTAAGTGGTGTTGTAAACTGATTTGGCTACAGCAGTATTTAAACCATGTTTTAGGCAAAGCTTTTTTAAACATTTGAATTCTCTGGGTATATAGGACTTATTATCCCTGTGCACACTGACTATGGGAGCACCTTCAGAATCTGGCTGTTTGAAGGTTGGCTGTTAGTGCAGGTTAAACTAGAGGCTAGCACTCCTCACCATGTTGAGCACATGTAAGTGCTGGTGTTTTGTGGATGTCTTCTTTTCCTACTTGCATAGTGCAAACCACATATGTTCACACTGTTGACTGAATAACCACAGTGGCAGTTGCTTATGTAAAAAAGTATTGTAAGGCAAGTACATTAATGTATGTTTGCTTGTTAATGTGATGTAGCAGCTGGAAGTTGAAGGAAGAGCCAGTGTCCTGGGACAAGTCGGGCTTCTTCACATCACTAGGGAGCCACTGATTGAAACCAGTGGTTTGAGAGGGCACTCTGATAGACTCAAAGCAAGCCATGGTAATGTTCATTTACTGGTGTGGAATTTAGCCATTAAGTTGCTTCCTGTACCTCCTCTTTCCTTATGTATTTTCATCTCCTGTTCCCTCATCAGCATGGGGCAAGGTTGGAGCAACAGTGCCATGCACTTACTTGTGAGGACAAAGAGGCTCATCATCCTGGGTTGGTGTAAAGCATATGAATAACTTATTCATAGTAAGATGCACTCTATTTCAGAAAAGCAGGATGGGCATGTTAAAGATTTAGAACCCCACATAAATGACAGGTTGCTCCAGCAAGGTTGCCATTTAAGAAAGGTATCTACTACTTATTTTTGATATGAATGAAACTTTTTGTTTTGTCTGTAGACCTCAACGGAACTGGAGCTGACTCGTATCAGGAGTGGCTTGATAACAAGCAAGGTATGAGATCAAGTCTCTCCAACATGGGCACTTGGGACTGATTTAGCTTGGCTCTCACAGCTGAATTGGTCTTTCTCTCCTCTCTCTTTCTCTGTCTCACTTGGTTTCTTTCTGTCTTTCTCCAAACCAGTTCACTGTTAACAGTTCCATGACTGCTGAAAGGTAACTCATTAAATTAGCTCAGGGCCTTCTTACAAGCTAGTGAGGATCCCCTTAGTTTTCCACAGCCCCCAGTTCTCCATCATTAAAGAACGAGAATGAAACACTGTGAAGCAAAATAGTTCTGTAACCAATTTAATTGTCTGGGGAAGGGGAAAAGTAATCAACTCAAACAGTCTTTTTTAGGTCATGGGAGGTGCATGCTAGTTTAACACTAGATGTTCTGAGAAGACGTTTGTCAGTATGAGCTGAAGAGGTCTCATGACTTAACGTGGGGGGGGAGGTGTATGTCCTTTCACAGTAATTTGAAAGGGAGAATCTCATCAGTAAAATTCAAAGATGGAAAAGTATATGGTGACAGAATCCAAATTCAGGTTACTGTTTCCAACTCTTTTGCTCTAAAAGAGGGTTTTATGTCCTCTTCAGAAGCTACAGTTGAAGGAGATTTGTCTGCGACTGTAGCTCTGTATTTAGTGCTGAAACCTGTAGTAATAACTATCAGGAAAAATATGTTCCCTTCAGTTCAATTTCATTTATTATGAGCTATAGCAAGGAGATAAGAGAAAATAATTATCCTAACCTGGTTATAGCCATCAGTAACAATGTCAGGGTTTTGCCCTGCTGTTGACCCAGATCATGTGACAGTAACGAAGAGCCAAGACTGCCACTTACTGAAATTCTGACTCTCCTCCATTATTGTCAAAGACAAAACGTCCAGGCACACAAGAAGGTCGTGGGTTTTGTTCGTTGTTTGGTTTAATTTTTCTAACAATGCCTCGGCTATTTGTATGTTCCTATACACAGATGATAAATGCATATTAAGCTTCAAATCAAAGATGCTGTGAAGCGCATTCCCTTGCCTGACATTCCTTATTTTCAAGTCAGCCTCTTTTCTGCTTAACTTTACACTAATCTTTCACTATTTTCTTTATTGATTGTAGTAAATACCTAATCATCTCTAAGCTTTCATTTTCAGCAGTTAGGGCCAGAAGGCTGGCATGAGAGAATTATAATCAATGACGGTTTCTTGATTAAATTAAGATTGCAAAAGAGTTTCAAAGTCCTTCAAACCATTCTAGTTCAGGACACTCCTAGTGGGCAAAAAGTGTATTCTTTGAAAGATGTCATCCAGTTTTGTTTGCTTTGCACTTCTTTGCTTTTCTAGTTTGTTTAATGTTTTGTGGGAAATAATTTCATGGTATTGTTTCAAAAAAACCCCAAAAAACAAAACCCATAAAACCAAAACCTCCTGCGGCAGCCCTTGCAGTGTGTTGTGCAGTGATTCTCAAATTTTTGTACTGAGATTCCTGTTCCAGGGTAAAGGGTAAAATGCCATGTCCCTTAATACCTGTTTACAACTGTCAGGTGCTGATGCTGTGCTATATGAAGACATTTTAGAAGGTTTGGTATGAGTATGTACAATAACTTGTAATCAGCCTTCTAACTTCCAGTTTGTTTGTGAGGCTGCAGTAGTGTTTCAGATCACAATTTGGAATAGTCTCCACAACATAAAATACCTAGCTGGCACTAGTGCCGTAATTCTGGTTGCAGCTGGATAGTTGTTTTTTTCATTTCACCCTGAAAGCAGCCATGCCTCTTAAGAGAGTGAAATCTTCAGGCCATATGAAATGTGATGACCATGACTCCATTTTATAACAGCTTGCTTGTCGCTCTGAAATTACATTATAATGAGGTTTAGTTTATATATTTTACTTCTTTCCTCATTAAAGTGCTATCCTTCAGAAGAAGCGCTTTGTGTGTAGAAATACTGCATGGTTAAAATGAAGGCAGGTTTATATGGATTTAATGTACTTGGGAGCCAAGGTTCTGCGGCTTTATAGCAGAGATGTTTTAACAAAGGACTTTATGGTAAGGGTGTGCTGTATTTTAGCCAGGCATTTGCTCAAGAGAAAATCTTGAGCAAAAAGGCCTAGCAGCCGGGAGAAACTATGAAGGAAAGAGCTTCCTCCAGATTTGAAGCTTGGTCTTGATGGATATTAAATCCATTATTCTTTAACAGTCCCTGAATTATTTCTTCTGTTGTCTCAGAGATGATATGACATTGTTGCACTTCAGAATTGTGCTGTAATGCTTGGAAAGCTGTTTCCTGAGTTGAGTGGGACTCTCATTTAATGCCAGAAGAAGTCAGGTGCCTGTGCTGTAGGTCTGTACCTTATTTGAAATGCAAATCTGCATGCATACATGTGTGAATGGTTCTCAGTGCAGAGCAGAAGAGCATCCAAAAGCTCAAGCTACATCTGTTTCCCAGAAGGGATAGCAGTTGCTCTTGCAGCATTTCATCCCTTCCATTGTTGTTCCACTATGGTGTTGACAGCTAGCCCTAAAATTGAGACTTTTCCTTCTCAGCCTTTGACTTGAGGGGAAGGTTTGGGAGTTGAGTAAGAGGACAACAAGAGTACGTGTCCTGGATCTGCCACTTCCACTGGTTAAACCAGGAGATCTTATGCCTTAACACCTGGGATTTCTCTGCCATATCAAAGATTTAAGAGCTATGTTTTCAAAGAGGTTTCTCCACAGAAGCTTACTGATGTAAAAAAACAAACAAACAAAAAAAACAACTTCCAAAACATTAAACAGAGGAAAGCATGTGAGCAGGAAGAGTGTTGTCCAGAGGAGTAAGCCCATATATTTGCAACAGTGCATAAGGTGACCTGATCAGTGCCTAGGGTGGGACTTTAGAGTTCTCTGTGTAACATGATGCAGCACCTTTTGGCCATGGAGGACAGCAGTGGGATGAAATGAGTGCAAAGGCTGTCTGTTCATTTCCTTGTCAGTGCAGGGTTATCCATGCTATGTATTGCTTCATGACTTGTCTAGTCTAGCTCTGCATGAATAAGCTCCTGCAACTTTACACTGGAGACCAGGCTACAACCTTGTATGTTGCTCACTGCTTGCTGGTTAACTTGCCAGTGCATATATCCCAGGGCCATGGTAACTGTCTGCTGAGCACTGAACTTGTGCTACCTACTCATGCCAGGTAGGTTATCCAGACAGCCATTAGATGGGTATGATATGGGGTTGCTACTGAACCAGGCCAGGTCTGTAACAGTGACCTTCAACTGAAGACGTCTAATTCCATTATCAGTCCCCTGAGCCCCATGGATATCATCTTTTATTAGAGTCTGGATGTAGCCATGGACCTTGTTTGTGTGCTAACAATAAACGTAGCATTAATACATAATTTGGCTGCTTTTTAATTTAGCCCAGCTTTATCCCCTGAACTCTCTTGACAACAAGTGTGCATTGGTTGTATAAGGACAGTGTACACAAGGGGACTATGCAGTAACTAGAGGGACTTGGAAAACCGTTTGTGAGCTGTCGTGCCGGTGGTAAGCAGAGAAGAAGTGTTATTTGTGCAGCATTTAATTTAAATAGGTCACTTGTTCTTATGGGCGGAAAGGGATATAAATGAGCCTTTTTACTGGTTCTGGAGTTCTGTTTAACGGCCTTGAGCTACCCTCCTCCATTTTCCAAGGCATGTGCTAAGCAAAGCCTCCTATTAGATAGCAGGGCTAATGAGATCACCAAAGAAACAACATCACCTTTGTTGCAGAAATTCGTAATAATAATTGTAAAATAGGGCTAGAATGAACTTCGGAAAGTCATCTAGTCCAACCCCTTGCTCAGGGAAGGAATATCTGTCTAAACTATCCCAGACAAACGTATGGCTAATCATCACTTAAAACCTTCTCATGACAGATTTCACAACCTCTCTAGGTAATCTGTTCCAATAGTAAACCACCCTTATATAGTAGTTTTAAAGGTTGGGCAACAGGAAAAACTTTCTATCTCCCTTACTGCCTTTTAAACATACTGCCTCTCTGTAACAATTACTTATATATGTGAAGACTGCCACTCAGTATTCTCTTCCCCAGACTAAATAATTCCAGTTCTTCCAACCTGTCCTCATGTCATGTTTTGTAGACTTTTCCAAATAATTTGGAAAAAATTAACTAGTTTCTGCTTTTTCTATCTCTTGCTGGTAAGATTCATGATGTGCTAACGTTTTAAAATGGCTAAGATTCAACAGCTTTGCATCAGAGAAATATTTCAGTGAAACAGGAATGGTTTATGAAATCATATAGCTTTCATGGTTTGCCCATGAAAACAGTTTGCCCCATAGTTTGTTTTTACTTTAAAATTTTTGAAATTTTGTTTCAAAATACATTTTCTTTTTGAAATTATTTTTACTGTCATTTTTTAAGTTTACATTATTTTATTACTTCACAGTATGAAGTAATATCTAGTTTGTATTTGTTACTTTTTGAAAAAATTACTAGGAGTAACTACTAAGTACATATGGAAGCATCATCTCTTATTTTCTAGGTGAAGTTGTCTCTTTCTGTGTTGAACGTTGAAATTACTTGCAGAGAAGAAATCCAAAGTTTTGATCAGTTATTTGGTAGCATTGGCTTTAGTAACTGGCACAGCCTTTGTCAAGTGAATAAGGTCCTACTGTTGTATGCGAGTGGATTTTATTACGAGCTTCTGCAGTTAATGGACTTCACTAGCATCTATTGATAATATGTGTTCAAATATAAATCCATAAAGACTTTTGGCCTCATTTAAAGGAAGCAGGTGGTGGCTATAGCACAGCGTAAGCAACATGGATCTCAGCAGTGGGAGAGGAGAGAGGTTCTACAGCTGTGTTAGAAACATCCATGCACACCCAATTCTATCTATGATATTTATGAGTGTTTAACTTTAATTATTATTTATTTGTATTGCACTAGCATCTAGGTGGGGGACTCTAATTTGCTTGGTGTTTTATACAAGCACAGAACAAAAAAACACCAAAACAACCCAAAGAGCTTCATCTT